CTGGCCGACGCGCTGCTGCCGCTGTGTGCGGCAGCGCGACCACGGCCGGCCCTTGCCGGCCGTCCGGCAAACTTCTCCGACCGAACTGACCTCTTTTAACCTTTTCTGACTTAACATGAATATATTTATCAATCATGACTTGAAAACGTAACTATTGCACGATAACATGAAAGGGCCGCGGCGGGCGCGCCGTGCGCCGCCGACGGCTATACGCCGTCTCCCGGCCAAAAACACCTTATTCCTCGGCAACTTCAGAACAACATGACATGATCATAATATTGAGGCAATTTAGAACTTAAAGTCACGGATGAACATAGTTATTACTGAAAGCATTAAGACTCGGACCGCGACCGTCCGTGGCCCCGCGATAGGCGCTGGCTACAGCTCAGGCCAATTTATCGACAAAACTTCATTTCTCCTCGACTAATCTGATCGTACTGAACATGAAATCAGTTAAGCAGAAAATTTAAACATCAACCGTTCGAGAGTTGCCGGGAAAAATCGAAAGTTGTTCGGTCGTGATCTTATTTAAGCATATTCGACCTTACGCACGGTTTTACTAAAAATCTCGAATATGATCTGAACATTTAGCCCTAACATGACTCAATCAACATGAATAGGAGCAGAGGAGAGAATTACCTCTTCGATCGTTCGACGGAAATCGGAAGTAAGGCGTGATTGTTGGCTCTTGCGGTTGCTGTGTGCCTACTCACTTCTGCTGTGCGATTTTTAATGGAAATTAGGGAAATTGCTTGCTGAATGATGAGGTATGCTTAAGGAAGATATGCTGCTGAAGGTCTTTAAGGGAAAATGGGGAAATTTTCATATAATCTCCTCCTTTTATAAATGGCCGATGGGGATGATGGTGATGACATGGGTGTGGCGTGGCCTTTTTAAGGCCCTAACACTTGTTTGATTTTTATGAGCCATTTGATGACTAAGCCCCTCCTAATCTGGACACGTGGCATTGCAAATTGAGGAAGAAAATCCCTTACTTAAACATGAGGAAACCTACACGGCCATTTGCCCCAATTTTTGGGAAAATATTTCTAAGGCACGGCTTTTATTTCCCTTAAGGAAATTGAGTACGGCTTTTATGGTTTAACATGGCTTAAGACATGAATTGTGATTAATTAACATTAATCACTTAATTTATGTTTAATTATTCAATTAAACATAATGCTTAATTACCAAAATTATTTCGAACGTAAACGGTACGTCGAAAATAGATTTCGGTGATCTCGACTGAAAATAATTAATTCCGAAAATAATAAACGATAACGTTATTATATCGGAACTAAAACGTGATTATACCGATAAAATATCGGGATATTACAATCCTCCCTCCTTACAAATTTCCGTCCTCGGAAATTCAAAACATAGCTGAATACATGCACTATGTACATAAGATAAAGAAATATGTACATCAAAACTGAAAGTCTGGGAAACGAGCGCGGATGTCGGACTCCTCCTCCCAAGTAGCTCTGTGGCGATACCACTTAATACGCACGAGGGGGATATCTCGCTTCCGGAGCCGACGAACCTGACGGTCTAGTACAGCTACCGGTCGCTCCTCGTACGATAGATCTGGCTGAACCTGAATATCCGTATGAGGGATGACATGATCGGGGTCGCACACGTACTTACGCAACATAGATGCGTGGAATACATTATGAATGCCTGATAACTCGGGAGGTAGGGCTAGACGATACGCGACCTCGCCTACTCGCTCGAGAACATCGAACGGACCGATGAAACGAGGGTGCAGCTTCCCTCTCTTGCCGAATCGCACAAGTCCACGAATCGGACGAACTCTAAGAAAGGCTGGCTCGCCAACCTCGAACTGAATGTCTCGTCGATGATGATCGGCGGAAGATTTCTGTCGACTCTGAGCTGTCCTGAGTCTCTGCCGGATCAACTCGTCCTGCTCCGCTGTCTCCTCGATCATTTTAGGACCGAGTACTCGCCGCTCTCCAACGTCTTCCCAATAGAGAGGGGAACGACACTTGCGACCATAATGTGCCTCGTAAGGAGCCATCTGAATGGAGGAATGATAACTGTTGTTATATGCGAACTCGGCGTACGGCAACAGTGACTCCCACTTAGCACCCCTGTCAACAACCAAAGAGCGAAGCATATCTTCAAGTGTCTGAATAGTCCTCTCTGACTGACCATCTGTCTCCAGATGGTAGGCTGAACTGAACTCAAGCTTCATGCCCATCGCCTCATGTAAGTTGTGCCAGAATTGACTGACGAATCTGGGATCTCTGTCTGATATGATCGTAACGGGCACTCCGTGGAGTCGGATGATCCCACGGGTATATATCTCAGCCAACTTGTCCAGAGACATCTTCATCGAAACGGGTAAGAAATGAGCGACCTTAGTCAATCTGTCGACCACGACCCAGATAGCGTCGTGATGTTCAGACGACCTCGGTAATCCCGTGACGAAATCCATAGTGACTTCCTCCCACTTCCACCTCGGAATCGGCAGTGGCTGCAGGAGGCCAATTGGACTCTGATGCTCGACTTTGACTTGCTGACAGGTAAGACACCTCCTGACGAACTCGGCGACGTCCTTCTTCATGCCTCGCCACCAGAACGACCCTTTCAGGTCGTGATACATCTTCGTGCTCCCGGGATGGGCCAGATAGGGTGGGTATGTGCCTCCGATAAAATCTCCTTCTGCAATGCCTCGACCTTCGGGACCACAATCCTGCCTCTAAACTCTAAGGAACCATCGGAACCTAACTGAAAATCCTGGGCGCCTCCGGCGCGAACCTTGGCCTCCATAACACGAACAAACTCATCAGAAGCCTGCTCTCGCTGGATTCTCTCTCTCAGTGTCGGCTGAAGCTGCATAGCACTGACACTGGCACTGGTACTCCCCGAGACAACTATGGGAAGTGCATCGATTGCCTGAAGCTGCATCCGGGCAAACTCATGAATCAACGGACTCTGCTGCGTGATGACGTACGTCAAGTCACCCTTAACTTTTCGGCTTAGGGCATCCGCGACGACGTTCGCCTTTCCCGGATGGTACTGAATAGAACAATCATAATCCTTGACAAGCTCAAGCCAACGGCGCTGCCTCATATTAAGCTCCTTCTGCGTGAAAATGTACTGCAGGCTCTTATGGTATGTGAAAATCTCGCAACGTCTGCCATAAAGATAATGTCGCCAGATCTTCAGGGCGTGTACGACTGCTGCTAACTCCAAGTCGTGCGTAGGATAGTTCTGCTCATGAGGCTTAAGCTGACGTGAAGCATACGCAACGACCTGTTCGTCCTGCATAAGGACACATCCCAAGCCCTGTCTCGAAGCATCGCTGAAGATAGTGAAACTCCGAGAAGGATCGGGAATAGTCAACACCGGTGCTGAAGTTAATCTCCTCTTGAGCTCCTGAAAGCTCGCCTCACATCGGTCAGTCCATTCGAACTTCACAGACTTCCTCGTTAGCTGGGATAGAGGGAGGGCGATCTTAGAGAAGCCCTCAATGAACCTGCGATAGTAACCAGCTAAACCGAGAAAACTGCGAACCTCGGACGGACTCCTCGGTGTCGACCAGTTCTGCACGGCTAAAACCTTCGAAGGATCCACCTCGATGCCTGCCTGAGTAATCACATGACCTAGAAAGGATACTCGCTGAAGCCAGAACTCGCATTTGGAGAATTTGGCGTACAACTTTTCTCGTCTGAGGGTTTCGAGAACCACCCTCAGATGCTCCTCGTGCTCCTTCTGGCTCTTTGAGTAGATAAGGATATCGTCAATAAAGACAATAACGAACTGATCGAGGTATGGATGGAAAATACGGTCCATGAGATCCATGAAAACAGCTGGCGCATTGCTGAGACCGAAAGGCATGACAACGAACTCGTAATGGCGGTAACGAGTCCTGAAAGCGGTCTTAGCGATGTCTGACTCTTTAATCTTCAGCTGGTGGTAGCCTGATCGTAAATCAATCTTCGAAAATACACAGGCTCCCCTCAGCTGATCAAATAAGTCGTCGATCCTGGGAAGCGGGTATTTATTCTTGATCGTCAACCGGTTAAGATCCCGGTAGTCGATACACATTCGCATGGATCCGTCCTTCTTCTTAACAAAGAGATCGGGTGCTCCCCACGGTGACACGCTCGGTCGGATGAAACCGAGTCGTAACAGCTCCTGAATCTGAGTCTTAAGCTCCTGCAACTCTTTAGGCGCCATGCGATATGGGGCTTTGGATACTGGACCGGCCCCTGGGATAAGATCGATAGAAAACTCCACCTGACGGTTGGGCGGTCCTCCTGGAAGCTCGTCTGGGAATACGTCTACAAACTCGCGAACGATTGGAACATCATGAGGTGTTCGCGCTTTCTAAGAATCCTCAACAAGGCTAACCAGATAACCCTGGAAGTTGCCTCGTCGCAATAACTTAGTTGCTTTCGCCATCGAAACAACCTGAGGTAGTGAACGGTTCCTGGAGCCGAAGAAAGTAATCGACTCGTCTCCCGAAAGATAGAGAGTGATCTCCCGGTCATGACACCTGATGTCTGCATGATAGAAGGATAGCCAATCCATCCCGAGAATAAGGTCGAAGTCCCTCATCTCGAGAACAAACGCGTCGGCAGTCAATACTCGGCCACCGATGGAAAGGTTAAGATCTGAGGCTTTAGCTGAGGTCACTATCTTTCGTCCCGAGGCTAAACTCACCTCGAGAGGATCGACAGCGGTAGCGGCGTGAACTCCGATGGCATCGAGACATCGTCGTGAAATGAAAGTATGCGTCGCTCCAGTATCGAATAAAGCAAACACAGGAACATTATTAAGAACAGCCATTCCGGACATGGTACCTGGCTGCTGAGCTGCCTCTGCCTGATCGACCGCGTATACTCGGGCCTGCTGTCTGCCCCTCTGCTGCTGCTGCTGAGGCTGCCTCTGTGCCTGCTGACGGGGCTGCTGCTGCTGCGGTGGCTGCTGAGGCTGCTGGGGCTGCTGCGCCTTCTTCGGACAACGGTTCGCGAAGTGTCCAAGCTCGTGACAATAATAGCACACATCCTGACCAAAGCGACACTCTCCTCGGTGAAGTCGTCCGCATGTCGGGCACTAGGGAATCTGCTGTAGCCTCCGTCGGGTCCTCTTATCTGCCGGGGCACCTTTCCCCTTGCTCTTGTTGTTCTTTGGCGGCTGGGTAGATGGTAGAGCTGGCAACGGTGGAACTGA